TGTCACTGGGGTTGCTGAGAAAGGAGGTCCTGAGCCTGGGGGTGCTGCGCCTGGGGGCGTTCTCTCTTCCCAGCAGCTGCGTGAGTGGTACTCTCGGTACTGTCGCCGCCGCCGTGGTGCTGTGGGAGCTGGAGGTGCTACTGGAGCTGGAGCTGAGGGCGCTGAGCCTACTAGAGTTGGTGTTGCTGCTGACCCTGGGGTTGGCACTGGAGGTGCTGGAGCCACTGGTCCTGGAGGTGCTCGTACTGGCGGTACTGGAGCTGGTGGGACTGGGGGTGCTACTGGAGCTGCTGGAGCTGGTCCTGCTGGAGGTGCTGCTGGTGCTGCTAGAGGTACTGGAGCTGCTGGAGCTGCCGGTGGTGCTACTGGTACTGGGGCTGGTGCTGCTGGAGGTACTGGTGCTGCTGGAGGTACTGGAGCTGCTAGTGGTGCTAAGGGAGTTGGAGCTGCTGCTGGAGGTTCTGGTGCGTTCTCTGCTGGTTCTGGGGGCACTTCACGGCCACAGCCGTACTTCGTTCCCCTCCTTCAGCAGGTTCTTGGTCAGTCGCCTCCTCCTTGTCCTACTCCCTCCTTAGAGTGTCCTCCGCCTGTCCAGTCGCTGTCACAGCTACCGCCTGCCTCGCCACTCCCTGGTCCTTCTCCCTACACTGGTCCGACAGGTGGTCTTACGGAGCGTCGGGAGCCTGAGTCTCGTCCTGTGTCGTCTGAGTCTCGGTCTGCGTCACCCGTTCGTGCTGCTCGCACTTGTCGTCGTGTCCCGCGCCAGCGTCCTCCTGCAGTCCCAGGCAATCACCAAATGGCGCTTCGTCCTTCTACTGCTCCACAGCGTGTCCCGCTGCCTTCTCCTCCTGCGTCCTCTCTTCGTGCCCTTGCCGACCCGGAGTCTGACTCTCCTCGTGCTGCTAGTTCTACTGTCACGCGTCTCCTGGCCACTGCTGTCAGTGACCCTTCCTTTGAGTCAGGTGCTGCGTCTGCCTTGGTTGCTGAGCTTGTCGACTTTGCTGCTCACTGTCGTCTAGACTACGCTGCGAGTCTTGTTGCTGAGTCTTGGCCTGAGTCTGTCTGTCCTCCGTCCGTCGGGGGTGAGTGTGCTCTTGGCACGGACGTCCTTGAGGACAGGCGGGAGGAGTTTGAGTGCTTTGCCGCCGCTGTACCTCATCTCGTGTCCATGCTGATTGCACCCGAGGGAGACCCGGATGCACCAGACATTCCGACCCCGCGCTCTTACGCTGAGGCGATCGCGGGTGAGTACTCCTCTCAGTGGCAGTCAGCCATGGACGCAGAGATGGCATCCTGGAAGTCCACTGGCACTTACGTCGACGAGGTTCCCCCTCCTGGGGCGAACATCGTCAGTGGCATGTGGATTTTCAGGGTGAAGCGGCCGCCAGGTTCTCCGCCTGTCTTCAAGGCTCGTTAAGTTGCTCGAGGCTTCAGTCAGCGAGAGGGAGTTGACTTCTTCCAGACCTTCTCCCCCACCCCAAAGATGACCACTCTTCGGGTGCTACTGCACGTTGCCGCTCAGCGTGACTACGAGCTTCACTCTCTTGACTTCAGCACAGCTTTCTTGCAGGGCAGCCTGCACGAGGAGATCTGGCTGCGCCGCCCTCCTGGATTCACTGGGTCGTTCCCTCCTGGTACCCAGTGGAGCCTCCGGTGGCCGGTCTACGGTCTCTGCCAGGCGCCATGTGAGTGGGACGACACAGTAAGGACGACACTTGCGGCTCTTGGGTTCGCGCCTTCTACTGCTGACCCGTCGCTGTTTCTGCGCACAGACACTTCGCTGCCGCCGTTCTACATCCTTGTGTACGTCGACAACTTGGTCTTTGCCACTGCTGACACTAAGGCTCTCGCCCTAGTGAAGTAGGAGCTGCAGAAGAGACACACGTGCACAGACCTAGGTGAGCTGCGCAGCTACCTTGGCTTGCAGATCACCCGGGACAGAGCACGCCGCACCATCACACTGACTCAGTCACACATGGTGCAACAAGTCCTTCAGCGCTTCGGCTTCACCTGGTCCTCGCCACAGCACACTCCTCTGGCTACAGGCCACTCGCTCTCAGCTCCACCTTCGGACGAGTCCGTAGAGCCGAGTGGTCCTTACCTAGAGCTAGTTGGCTACCTCATGTATCTGATGACTTGCACTCGTCCTGACCTCGCGTACCCTCTTGGCCTTCTGGCTCGCTACGTGGCTCCTGGTCGGCACCGAAAGTTGCACATGGATGCTGCTAAGAGGGTGCTGCGCTACTTGTGCAGTACATCAGGCATGTGGCTCGTGCTTGGAGGGAGGAGCTCAGTTGTTCTCACTGGGCACTCAGATGCTTCTTGGGTTGACGACCAGGCTACTCAGCGGTCGTCACAGGGTTACACCTTCAGCCTTGGCTGTGGTTCAGTTTCTTGGCGTTCTACACGTTCGTCTTCAGTTCTCAGCTCCAGTTGTGAGGCTGAGATCTATGCCCCAGCCATGGCTGCACTGGAGTTACGTTGGCTCACCTACCTGCTGACCGACTTGGGAGAGGGGCCTCGTTCTCCTCCAGTGCTGTACGTCGACAACGAGGCTACCATTGCCTTGTGTGAGGAGCACAGACTGGAGCACAGAACGAAGCACATCGCTCTGTGTTACTTCCTGGCTCGAGAGTTGCAGCAGCGTGGTCAGCTTCGTCTGCGTTACGTGGCCAGTCGGGCCAACACTGCTGATATATTCACCAAGGCACTTCAGTCTGGTGATCATCAGCGTTTCTCCACTATGCTAGGGCTTGTGCCCACTTTTCCTCACTTGCTGTAGGCTTTGCTTGTACTGTGATCTATATATATACCTGCATGCTTGCTTTGCTAGGTAGAGATCACTGTGCTGTTTGTGTTGCATATATGCCTCTGCATGTGAACTGGCCTTGTGGCCCTTTGCTTGTGCTCAGAGTGTGTGGTGACGTTGTGATCCACCCTGAGCTTGCTTTGCCTTTCTTGACTGGTCTTTTGACCCCTTGCTCTCCCCCACTTTGCCTATGGGGGTGTGTCAAATGTTCTGTCTGCTACAGTTTGTTTAGGCTGTAGTGGGGCAGTTACTATGGGGTACAGTAAGTTTAGGGTTTCCTACTTGTACCCAACTCTTTCCTAGTGCAATCACTCTTGTTCATTCTGACATTAACATACCGTCATACCCCGGATATAAGCGCCACCCGCGGATAAGCGCCTGGCGCTTTTAATTGGCGTGTGGCGCTTATATCCGGTGCTCGATTATAAGCGCACCCCCTGAAGGCTTACGTATTATAAGAGCCACCATTTGTATTAGTTTTCATAAAGTTACTGGAATATCTGTAGCGAAACACACTATTTGCATCCTCACTTGATAAAATGTCGACCCTTCACCCTCGCGCGACTCACTGCCCCACCCTCGCGCGACTCAACTGACTGCGCGTCCAGTCAGAATGAGCTGTCATGGGGCGAAATGACTCATTCTGACTGTGTGTGTTGGCAGTTTGCAAACTTACGCGAGATTCTTCTTCACACCCACTATGATCTTGACTTGATTGAAATCGCAATGACAAGATGAACATTTTGAAGTGAAAACAACTAGATTTCATATATGTCATTGTATAAGCCCCGGCGCTTATAAAATTACTATATTATAAGCCCACCCCCTAAAAAAAACACGTTTTATTAGTGCCCCCTATGGGGGTATATTCGGGGTATTACGGTATTGGTGAATAGTGGTGTAGTATGATTTCACGTATTATGAACTTGTTGAGCAACCTCAATATTGATTTATGTGCTATCTATTGCCACGGTTTAGGATAGATAAGGGGGCTACATAGTAGCGCCTGAAATAAAAACCACCTTCAATTCCCCAACTGTTATGAATGAACTTGCAGAGTGCGCAGTAAAACGAATATCGAGAATGATTGAGTACTGAATTACTGAATGACGATACAATGAGAAAGGCACGACTAAATAGGGGAAGTCCTAGCTAGGCGGAGAGGTTGGGCGAGGATGGCTCGGTGATGGTTGCGATTGGTGCGGAGGCGACTCGGGAGTGGTTCGGTGCGACGAAATAGGAAGGACAGGTTCGTCGCGTGACCCTCGGGATGTCCTCGCTAACGAGTGCCCCAGTAAGGATTCTGTAAATCCTTACACAAACCAAGCCCAGAAACACCTCTGCATAAGTTACATACCAAGAATGGTGTTTGTGTTATTGTCTTCGTTAGCACTTTACAGCCCTTTGGATAGGAGTGTATCGTATAGATGGGAGACAATTTAGGCAGACGCGAATGGCTGATGGAGCCAAGCAGGTGCCAGCCACGATTTTTGGGCTGAACTCGCCCATAGTTGCAAACCAACCCTACCCCACACGAACCCACCTCGCACCAACCCGTTCATACTCGCTGTTCCATTGTTAGGACCGGCACTATCTCATCTCAACCTCCACCCTTCCTGCTGACCTAGATTGCTAATAACAACAAATCATTGCTACGCGTCCTCCGCACATGTTACGTAGTACATAGAACACAGTAGTATAACAACGGTTCTCCTTGATCTTGCTTTCCTCAAACAATGCCACCCGACCGCATGTAGTCCCATGCGGTGTTCCTCTCACGCCGTATTCTTACCACGCAATGGGGTCGTTATTACACGCTCTCCCCCTCTCGATATCTAGGTTATTCTGCTCACGATGCCGTTCCATGCGCACGACATCCGTTAGGGTAACGATTTGTTTCTCCGATCGCCTGTGACGATCAAACCGCTCACATGACGCCGTTCGAGCCGTCGCTTCGTCGAGCCACCGTTTCCGTGACTTTGATCTGCAACAACACTCACTAGCTCACTAAAAAGGGTTCCTTCCCAACAGATACCTGCACGAGAATACCGAGCCGCGCATCGACAGAAGCAGCAAGAAGCAGGCGTTCAGAGCATAGCTGGTAGAAGCAGCAGGGAGAAGCGTCCGTGCGGTGGAGTGCGTGAGAGTGTTTCGAGTCTCGTACAACCTGTCCAGAAGAGGCCGTGCCACCATGGGTAACTGCGTGACTGTAGAGGAGATCCCGTTGAGTCCTACGAGCGGTAGCGGGCGCAAGGTGACTAACGGCAGCGGGGACGTGGGGAGGCGCAGCGGCAGCGGCAGCGGGGACGTGGGTAGGCGCAGCGGCGGCGGCGCGACGGTGACAGCAGCGGCAGCGGCCGCAGTGGCGGCAGAGTCGGGCAAGCAGGAAAGCGGAAGGGGGGTCTTCTCAGGCTCGCGGTTCTCGCGGCTGCGCTCCTCCGCCTCGAAAAAAGGTGCTGCAATGGCTGTGTCGTTTACCGTGGCATGCGAGAGCACGCGTCGCATGTGATTCCGGGGCTGACCAACACGTGCTTGCCTTTTTTCGCAGCAGCTGCTCGTCGCTGCGCGTCTCGCGTCCTCTTCTCTTGCTGTCTCATGCCGATCCTTAACCCACGTGCTTCCCGTTGTTTTCCATGTTCCTCCCCGATGCCCTCCCACGCCCGTAACTTCCTTTTCCCTTCTCCTCGCTCCGGCTCCCTCTCTCTCCCGCCCTCTCTCCCGCACTCATTCCCCTTATTTTCCGTCCTCCCTCCCCCTCTCCCCCATCTCCATCCCCGCCCATCCACCACCGCTGCAGGCAGCGCCTCGTCGGCAGCGCCCGCCGCGGTCCGCCAAATCGAGAGGGCGGGGGAGGGGCAGGCGGCAGCGGTGGACAGCCTGGGGGCGGCGGCGTCAGTGTCAGCCCCCTCCCCAGCCACGGACGCGGGCAGCAGAGTCACGTCCGCGCGCGCGCAGAGTAGCTCCGCTGCCGCCAGAGGTACGGATTCTATAGGTAGGTGCACATGTGCGGGGACAGGGGGGATGGGAGTTCAACGCGGCAGCGCCTCCCAATCATTGGCCCATTGATCCCACGTGGCTTGCTTCTGTTTACCTCATCGCGTCATGCACTCCCTCGCTTGCTTCCCCTTCACTGCCCTATCTGCAACTGACAGTTGACAATGAATCGTCCCACGCCACGTCAGCAGCGCGCAGGGAGCGGGACAAGGGCGTGGAGCCGCCCAAGATCCCCGCGCACCCCCTCGCGCTCCCGCCCAACGAGCTGCCGCCGCAGCAACCCGTGTCGCCTCAACCCGCTTCAAGGGGAGAGGGCGCAGACGGAGGGGCGGCTGCGGGCGTGGGGAGAGGCACTGGCGCAGACGCAGCCGCGCTGGCAGGCGCAGGCGCGGGCACAGGGGGGGGCGTGGCCCCGTCCCCCACGGATCTGGCGGGCGTGGGGAGCGACACGAGCCTGACAGTGTTCACGTATGAGGAGCTGCGCGCGGCCACGGGGAAGTTCCGCGCGGACGCGCGCCTGGGGGAGGGCGGGTTTGGTGCAGTGTACCGCGGGAGGGTGAGGCCGAGGCCGGGGTGTGAGCCCATAGACGTGGCTGTGAAGACACTCAACCAAGAGGGCCTGCAGGGCCACCAGGAATGGCTGGTACGCATGTGTGCCTTGTGTGCTTGCTTGCTTGTTTGTTTGGTTCTTTCTTTCTTTGTTTGTTAGTGTGTGGTATTGATGCATGATGGTATGTGTGTGCCACCACTGTGAGTGTGTGAGACGATTTCTCCAGCACTGTATCCCCGTCCTCTTTCCTCGCCATTGGCTGCTTACTTACCACGAATGGAATGCTCTAATCGAAGTCCCTCCCTCCCTCCTTCCATCCTCCCTCCTCCTCCCCCTTTCTCCTTCCAGGCGGAGGTGCGGTTTCTGGGGGAGCTGCACCATCCGCAGCTGGTGAAGCTGGTGGGGTTCTGTGCGGAGGCGGAGCAGCGCCTGCTCGTCTACGAGTTCATGTGCCGCGGCAGCCTCGACACCTACCTCTTCCGCCGTACGCCAATGGGGGTCATGGGGACGACAAGGAAAGGGTTTTTTACGGTGTGGGAGGAGGGAAGAGGGGGAAGGGGAATGTGTGGTTTGGGCGAGTTGACGAGAATGGGGTGGTGTGGGGCTGCATCTTATGGCTACCCACACGTTTGTTGGCCACAAGTCGAGTTTCCCAGGTGCTCCTCCCCTCCTCTCGCCATGGGATCGGGACTGCAATGCAACACCCACCCATCATTACTCATCCACCACAACCCTTTCTCCCATCCCGTCCTCCTCCTTTCTTCTCCCCATGCGTGCTGCTGTTGCAGGGAAGATCCAGCCAATGCCATGGGCAGTGCGCATGCGTGTGGCGTTGGATGCAGCGCGGGGCCTGGCGTACCTGCACGAGGAGGCGGAGTGGCAGGTCATCTACCGCGACTTCAAGACCTCCAACATCCTCCTCGACCAGGTGCCCCTCCGTCCCGCTCTGCTCGCCACCACTCTCTGCTTGACGCCCCGCCTTGCTCGCCTCCGCGCTCTCATGCATGATCAATGTGAATGGGGAGGGAAAGGGGGAGGGTGGGAGGGACGGAGATGACTCCCTCTCTGACCCCGTCCTGTCGATGCGAATTTTCCTTATCTCGTTTTTTGTACCCTGTCCTCCTCTTCCCCTCCTCCACCCCCTCCCTCCGGGCCCTGCAATCCCAGGACTTCAATGCAAAGCTGTCGGATTTTGGGCTGGCCAAGGATGGTCCCGAGGGTGACAAGTCACACGTGTCCACACGCGTCATGGGCACCTATGGCTACGCCGCCCCTGAATATGTCATGACAGGTGGGTCCCTGTGCCTCGTATACTTCGGGGAAGTGCAATGCAAGCTGCATGTCACGAGCTGGTAGCGCATCTGCACTGGGGGGCTTTACATTGGAGTGCGTGGGGACCATTTCCATGGGCCATGCTTCACGCAATTTCCTGCTTTCTGCTTCTGAAATCCTTGCAACGCCCAATTCATCCCACCTCCACCTGGTCCCCACTCGTTCAACACACACCCTCACCTCCCCTCTCCCACTTCTCTCTGCCCTCCCCACCTTTCCCCTTTTCGTCCCCGCCCCCCGCAGGCCACCTAACAGCAAAGAGTGACGTGTACAGCTTCGGCGTGGTGCTGCTGGAGATGATAACAGGGAGGCGGTCCATGAACAAGTCACTGCCGCCCGAGGAGCAGAGTCTGGTGGACTGGGCCAAGAAGTTCTATACCGACCGCCGCCATCTCTATAAGCTCGTCGACCCGCGCCTCGAAGGCGCCTACTCCATCCGCGGCGCGCAGAAGGCGGCCATTCTCGCGCAGAACTGCCTGCACCGGGATCCCAAGGCGCGCCCGCTCATGAGCGACGTGGTGAAGACGCTCGTGGTGCTGCAGAAGTACGATGACGTGGCAGCTGCAGGGGACTCCGGTGCTGCTGGCGCTGCTGCTGCCGCCGCCGCTGTTTCTTCAGCAAGCAGTGCTGCAAATGGCGTGTAGCTGCGAGAGGAACTGCGACTCATACACGCTCCATGACTCTTTGCCTGCATTCTCCTCTGCCGCTGTGCCTCCGCCCATTTTCTCTGCTTGCTGTTTGGTCAACTCACTGGCTCGGTCAATGCACTGACGGAGATGTATGTGTGATGCTTCTCCAATGTCGTCTTGGGTGGTGGTGTATCCCACGAAGTGCAAGTGTGGATTGACCCTGGTTTTGACAAGTGGTCTTTGTGCCTTTGGTTTGGGTTCTTTGCTGGTAAGGTGGTAGTTTGCTTCTAGCTTGTAGTCAGCCGTTGCTCCTTCAGTGCACCTGTGGAGCTGTACTAATGCTCTGCCTCTGAGATTCTATATGATGCTGCTGGGATTGCCTCCAAAATATACATTTGAAATATACATTTCAGCATTTCCTAGTTCTGAAACGGACAACTTGCTTGTGTCAAACACCTTCGCAGAGGTGAACGTAGAACATCGTTTTCAGTCACCAAGTTTCTGAACCGGAGTCTCAAGTTTCCCGAAGTTGTCTCCCTTCCTACCTTTGGTTGGGTCACCAAGTCCAACCAACCTTCCTACCTTCGAAACCTGTGGACCCTGGGTTTTAAAGGAAACCGCTGCGACTCAGAAAGGCAAACTGGAGCCCAGCAGGCGGCACCGGCGCGTGCTACGCGGGCCACGCCAGGGGCGCGGGGATGAGCGCGGAGCCCGCCATGACGCGCGCGAACTCCTCCAGGTCCACCACGCCGTCGCCGTTGCCGTCCGCCGCGCGCACGATGCGCTCGCACTCCTCCATCGTCACGTCCTCGCCCGGGCCCCACAGCGCGCATAGCACGCGACACAGCTCCTCCGCCGTAATCACGCCGTCACCGTCGCGGTCGAAGAACGCAAACACGGATTGCAGTTCCTCCTGCTGCACCGCAGCCGCTGCTTCCGCGCTTTCCGGATCCAAGGCGGCCGCAGCGGCGTCGGCGGCGGCGGCCGCGTTGACTCTTACGAACTCGTCGAAATCGATGGTCCCGTCGCCGTCCGCGTCAGCCTGCGCCATCATTGCGCGGACCGCCGCCTCTGTGTCTTCCTCCCCGCTTGCCTCGCCGGTTGTTCGCAGGAGCGCCGCGAGCTCGTCGCACGAGATTCGCCCATCGCCGTCGCGATCCATGAGCTCGAACACCTCTGCTAGCTCTGCCAAGTGGCTGCTTTGGCCGCCGCTGCTGCAGTTGCGAAGGTGAAAACCGGCGCTAATCGCACAGTTTGTGCTTCCCTCACTGCCGCTGCGGAAGTCGCGCGCCGAGAACGGCGGCGCGGCGGCATCGTCGCTGCTGCGGGAGGAGGTGGAGCCGTGCACGAGGCGATCTGAATGGGCATGGAATGGTTCTGGGTGTGACTCGAGCATGATTAATGCGTGGCGGTGGCGAGGAGGTCCCCTAAGACGGTTAAACCGGATCGGCAGAAGCGTTTTCAAGTCTCATGCGGTACGAGGAGTATGTTTGAGCTACGCGAGTTGGGTTGGTTTGGGTTGGGTTGGGACGATGAGTGCTGGTCGGTGTTAGTGTAATTGGGACGCGCAAAGAGGAAAAGGCAATTCTTGTGCATAGTGACGGGACGAGCGGAATTGCAAGCACGCAGTGCAGCGAAAAAAACCGACTCGCTCTGCCTCACCTTCGCCTAGCTTCGCGAGTCGCCTGGATTCCTCACCTTCGTCGCCCCTCGCCTTGAAACTGGGCGGGCTGCACCTTCTGCGTTTTGCATGTCGGTCTCCGCCACCCAGGCACCGCGCGACCCCGGCGCCAGGCTGGCTGGCTGGCTAGCTGACTGCCTAGCCATTTCTGATTGACCATTCACTGCTCGCCGTGTGGACGGCCAATATACAGCCTCAGCAATGCCGTGACGTGCCAGACGTCCGTTTCATTTCATTTCCTTACAGTTATCTTGTTGCGTGTGCTGAGTGCGTGACTCCGTCGGTTTCAACTCTCGCGCACGCTTGGGCGCGGCTTGTGGACTGGACTGCTTGCACTCGGACGTTTCTCTAGCTGAAAGGAAACGTCCTGATATTTCTTGCTTTCAGGGTGTTTCCTTGAATGAAACATCATACTGTAGGAATGAGCACTATACAATATCCAGCCCCGACTGTCACTAGTCAATAATACAGCAGTAGTCAGCACATGAAGCTTTCAATGAATTACTGTCTACTTGCAAACTCCTCTAGTTCCTACCATGAACTGTCCTAGACACAAAATCCTACCTTCCTATTGAGAGCTGAATAAGGAGTGTAAGTAAGAATCTACCATATGGTAGTTCGTGCAACATTATGCTGTTGCCGGTATGGAAGGCACACTATGGCTATGTACAAAATGTACAAAGGAAGCACAGACAACCGCAACAGCCCTGAGCCATGTGCTGGCACGGCCAGCATCAACCCACCAAACCCACACCCACCTCCTACAAGGTCAACCAGATCACCATACCACCCCCATTTGCCTAGGCCGAGTTAAATTACAGCACAAAGAGAATGAGGCTGGCAGTTGCAGCGCCGAGAGACACGGGTACAAGCCACCCACCATGTGATACTCAGCTCTGCTGTGACTTGGTTCCAAAACCAAGTGACGATAGCAGCCACTCCGACTGCCTCCACACAGCACCCAAGATGGACGACGACTCGCCCCCCTGCTCCTCCCCTTCTCCCCCTTCACTCTCCAGCCCACCACCAAACATCTCCCCGCCCTCGCCCCACCCGACATCCTCATCCTCGTCCCCCAGCCCAAACTCATCCTCCCCAAACTCCTCTCCCTCGCCCCCTCCTCCCAACTGCCTGTCCCTCGAGCTCAGCCCGCTGCTGCTGCCAGACCCTGTGCCACTCCCTGCCCCCCCACTCCCCCACTGCCACCCACAGCTGTGGCTGCGATGCATCCCCTGCACATGATGCCGCCCTGCCACACCGCCTGCAACACCAGCCACCGCATGCGCGCCCTTTCCGCTCCCCACCGCTCCCCCCCCAGCATCCTCTCCCTCGTCGCCCTCTGTGACGCCCTTGACTGTGACTTGCGCCTGCGGACCCATGTGCTGCCGCACCGCTGCCAGCACCTGTGGCACGTCCACAGGGCGGCCGGACGAGTCAGTGACGATGAACTCGTCCACTGCCGTGCTGCCACGTGTGCTCACGTTGGCTGCTGCCACGGACAGGTTGTGGCTGAGCAGGAGGCGTGTCACGTCGCATAGCAGACCCGCTCGGTCGCTCACACACAACTCCAGATGCACTCCCTGACACCGGCATGGGGACGAGATGTTGGGGAAGGGGAGAGGAAACAAGGGAGAAGGGGCAGAGGCAGGAAATCATAAAGGGAGAGCGGGAGAGGACATATGAAGGAGCAGAGGCCGTCGTGGTGACAAGAACATCCCTGGAAGGATGGCGAAGAGGCATTGGTGGCGGACTGTGCAGCCATGCACAGCTGAGAGGTGGAGGTAGAGACGGGCTGAGCTTACCTTGGGTGTGCGGCGCTCAATGGCTGCCTCGACACACTTGATGACTCGCTGCCTCTCCGCCTCTGACTCCAGAGTGCCGCCGTCCATCTGCCGTATGTAGTACTCCTGCTCACATGCACACACACACAACACAACACAGGCGAAATGTCACCCAACACTACCAATGAAAAGCAATTAACAACTCTGATAACCCAGCCACCAAACACCACCCCACGCCACGTCCCACCCACTCGCCCGCACCACCATTTCCCGTGGTGTGCGTACCTGCAGGCCCCAGCCATGGTGCGAGGAGATGGCGCCGTGGTGCACCATGTAGCCCATGTCCGTGAGCGTGCACACCGTGTCAAACAACAGCTTCGGCCGGTCCCGACACCGCACCCGCACCACCGAGTACTGCCGCTCCACACTGTTGCGCACACTCACCCTCACACCGCTCCCACCACCACTCCCACTCCCACTGCCGCCACTGCTGCTGCCTCCATTGCTGCAGAGACCAGGCGCGGGGGAACCGGTGCTGACACTCGGCGCGCCTCTCCTCGCCCTCCTGCCCACCACTCCTCCTGTTGCAGGGGCCCGAGACCCCATCAGTCGCCCGCCCACCCACGCGCCACCACCACTGCCCACACCCGTTGCTCCCACACACCCCGGCCGCCCCATGCCACTTGCACGTTCCTCACCACCTGGCTCTGTTGAAACCACCTGAGAGAAAAGCCCTGAGGCAGCCCAGCCCATGGGCGCAGTGATTGTGAGTCCGGGCGTGCCGGCAGGCCTGCTAGGGTGAGGAGGCAGGGACCGGACGGCTGCAGCAGCGGCGCCAGTGGGAGAGAGAGAGTACGGTCCGCTCGCCACAGCAGCTGCTGCAGCAGCGGCGGCAGCGGCGGCGGCTGCTGCTGGAGGGTAAAGCGGTGGGGAGGAGAGGGCAGGTTGGGCGAAGGGGTGAGGCGAGGGGCGGGGAGTATGCAAGGGCATCAGGGCCGGTCGAGTCAGCTGCACCCGCTGCATCCCTGGTGCACACTCCACGCCACCCTGCCTGCCCGCCTCGCTATTGCCACGCGAACCACCGCTCGGCCCCCCATCAGACGCCACGCCAGCTACACGCGCGAGCGCCGCAGATGTGGTGGGGGCGGCGGCAGCCTCAGCGGAAGCGGCGGCGGAGGCGGGCATGGGCGCGGGGGCGGCGTTGTCCTCGTAGTCCCTGTCCGCGAACAGCAGCTGGTGCAGCCGCCGCTCCGCGTGCGCCATCGTCACTGGCAGCGACGTGCTCTCCACGCCCCCCGTTCCGCGGTCCCCCCTCCCCCGCTCGCGCATGCCGCCGCGCCACGCCACCGAATCCCACTCCACGTCCGTCCAAACCCCTCCTCCCGCTGCCGCCGCCGCCGACGGCGCCGCCTGCGCCCCGGCCTGCCCTCGTAGCATGGCTGCCTGGAGAGCGTGCTGCTTTTCCGCTGCCCGCTGCACCGCCTGCGCCTCTGCCGCCACTGCCCCCTCCCCCATGCCCCGCCCTATCTCCTCGCTAGCGGCGCCATTGCTGCCCTGCGCGGCAACCCCCGCTCCTGCGACCGAAGCGTCGGCGGCGGCAGGCGCAATAAGATTGGGAGGGACGGCGGGAATGGTCTGTGCGTGAGCCTGTGCGTGTGCGTGCGCGTGTGGCGGGAAGGAAGTGGGTGCACGAGGGGGACGCGGCGGGGGCGAGAGGCCTGGGCTCAGCGACGAGGTGGGCGAGGCAGAGGCGGGGACAGGGGGATACAAGGCGGGAGCATCTGGCGGAAGGAGACACGCCGTAGGTACTGCAGGGTCGCCCGAAGCAATACCCGGCGCATGCCACGCAGCGGATGGCGAAGCAGCGGCGGCTGCAACAGGCCTCACGATCGCAGCGAGCTCTGCCCTGATCCGCTTCAAGCGGAGCGGGTCTTTAATCCTGCCCCCCCCTGCAGTGTTATCCGTGACGCACACCACGCACGCCACTCGACCGTTGTGCGTCCACACCTCCGCGCCCACCACGTTGCACTGCGCCGCCGCCAGCACCGCCGCCACGTTTGCTAGTATGCCCGGCCTGTCCCCGCCTGTGATCTCAATCGTCGTGTGCGCCGCCGGCGCCAGGCAGCAAGAAGCGGGCGGCGCCGCTCCTCCGGGCGCAGCCGGGTTCGCAGCGCCTGCTGCGGCTGCGGCAGCGGCGGCGGAAGCGGAGGCAGCAGAAACGGCGGAGGACGACAGGTTCCCGGATTCGAGGAAAGCGGCGGTGCTTAAGGTTTGGTTGGCGGAAATAGAGCGCGTGGGGGCAGCATACGCCGAGTGAGCGTGGTGGGGAGGTGCGGGCAAGTGCGCGGCGGGAGGGTGAGCGGCGCGGGAAGACGAGGAGGACGACAGGGGCGGCGCGACCTCTTCAAACGACGGCGCCCCCAACGCCTACGGGAGAAAAAAAATAGGCGACATGGGGGGAAGGATGCACAAGAGAGTTGGACAGGCGAGGACAGACGAGATGCGCGCAGGTGATTGTACCCAGCCCATTAAAAACGGTGCGAGGGTGCGGAAAGACGAGAGTAGCGTGAACGAGGAGGAACGCGGGCATGGAACAAGGTATGTGCCAAAACGGTGCGACGCTGATGCCGTGCGGTGAAGCCAGCGCATGAGTCATGATGCACTGGACAGGTTGAGTGCTCATGTTGAGGTCCTAGTCACCTGCTGTATGTACGCCATCAGGCGCCTGTCGCGCAGCTTCTCCCCCGCTGAGTCGCGCACGTGGAACACTGGCTTAAGGGCACACGGGGAAAACGCGCGGGGCAAGCAGACCACGCAAGTTCAGGCAAGGTCAGGCATGCGCGGGGGAAAAGAAACAGACTCCCGTTAAGATTTGATCAATCTTCGAACTCCCAACGTGCTGAATCTTTGCCAGAACAGCTTCAAATCGCGGAACGAGGAGATTTTGAGACGACTCAACGATCACGCCGCCCGGAGAGCGCGCATAAGGAAGGATTACGCAGAAGCGAGGCGTTTGAACAAACAATAAAGGGGAAGGAGTCGTGGGCGACTTACCGTCGACGAACCAGGCGGCGTCGGAGGAGATGAAGGCCTTGGGAATGACGAGGTTGAGGTCGGAGAGCAGCTGCACCACCTCCAGCAGACACCCGTGCCGGCTCGCGCTCCCCACCTTCACCAGCGTCGACCGCTCGTCCGACACGTTGTCGAACACGATGCTGAGAGCGACGCGCGACGGCACGGAGAGAATGAAACCAGAAAAGGGGGGGGGGACGTTGGAGAAGGTTGTGGGATAAAGGGGAAAGTAGAAAGGGATAAAGGGATAAGAGGCGAGCGGGGTGATAAAAGAAAGTAGAAGACGGTCCAAACGATGGCGATGCGTGGGAGCGCGCATGCTGATTCTGGTGCTAGTAAGAACACAGCCTGGCGGAGCGCAATTGGGCTGAGCTGATGGAGGCGGACACGGTCGTGAGCGACGCACCTCGGGGGATTGTTCCGGATGTTCAGGGCGCGTAGCTCTGCGGACGAGAAGGGAGAGCACCACGACGCACGCACGCCGCATAGCACGACGGATCGGCGACGCGTGACGGGGAGAGCACGGCGCACGGCGACGGGGCACGGCATCATGGCGATCCGACCGGCAACAAGCAGGGAAACAAGGGAAATACGGGATATGGAGAAGAAACACGAAAGCAGAACACATCCCCAGTGCAGCAAAAACACCAACACGTGCGTGTTTGATCGCCTACAGCAAGCTCGAGCACCGCGCAAAGCGGTTCATCCCTTACCGTCGAATCCTCCCGCACTGCGGTCCCGCAGGCACTGCGGCAACGAGCCCGACATGCAGGTCAGGCGACTGGTGGGCGGGGTGGGTGGAACGGACGGCCACGATGACGCCATGTGGGAAGATAGGGGATCGCTATACGAAGCCAATACTGTTGTTAGAAACTGATGCGGCGCGGAAAACAGGTAGTCGATCAAATGCTCAATTATAGTGGAAGAGGCGATATGCTCAGCGTTTCCAGGAGTCCTTAGTCTGGAGTGATGATAAGCGGAAGCTAATTGAAAGTAACGGACGACCAAGACAACTAAGCGCTCGAGATAAACAAACACGGACAAGCGAACGAGGTGGCGAGGACGAGGCAAACTGTACTAGGAGGAAAATACTGCTAAGAGACAGCTGCTGCACGCCATCCCTAACTACTGGCGACCACAGGCTGATCGGGGAGGCCTTGTGCAACACCACCAAACACCAAAAGTGGAGGGCTTGAGAGCAAGCAACCATGGCTGCCTGCCGCTGTTGGTTTGGTTTGATGTGTGCTGCTGGAGGCTACGCTTCCTTTCGCTGACCGTCGCAAACCAGCGAACCTGTCAGGCATTCGTCGGCCTAGCGACATATGGCTGGGCTTTCATTCGTCAAATTTTTCGCAGACGAGTTCTGTCACGCGCGAGGAGGGCTTCAGATGTTTGCGCTGCGGGGTTTCCAAACCGCAGCGGCGCAGGAGAAGAAGCGGAGGCGTGTGCAGGTGATGTAGGCGGGCCGGAACGGGGTGTGACGCGGAGTGACTGACGCCGTGATGATTGGGCTCGGTTCGGTGGGAAAGGAGGAATCGATAACTGGATCAGAGCGACAGCATGTCCAACTCCAGGACACGTGGGTTGCCAACGATTCTCAAGGCTGCCCGGAAATCTCATTGACCCTGATGTGGTTTGACCCTGAGAGAGTAGCAAGCAGGATGCAGCACCATCAGGTTGTCCCACCGCATCTGAACGTACAAGAACGTTCCGGAATGTCCGAAAACGATCTGTACCTTTCTCAAACCTCCGTTGTCGAGAATTCGGGTTCGCCTGAATTGAGCTCAGATCTGCCAGATTCTTTCATAACGGCCAGGATCGACGGTTCCTCTGCAAGATACCTTTTGTTGCTGCAAGGTCATCCAGCCGCGCGCCGATCATACCGAAGAGGCGTGAGCGAAACATTGGGCGTGAAATGTGGTGAGGTCGTTGGTCTCAGAATCGCATTTTCGTGGTGCTAGCAGGTACGTACGACACGGAGTGTTTTGTTCATACATTTTGGTGTACTTATGTTGCCTAAACCGCCTTCCCCTCCCTACTGATGTAAATGTGAAATTTCTGAAAGTAATGTTTATTCACCATTATTTGACACAAGCAGAAACGGTACAACATGTACCATTCAGCACATCCTTGTCCATGCAACCTATGCCAAATTCCAACCAGCACTAATGTACAGGTACTACGGTAAACAGCTAGTGTACCCCCCTTTTCCTTCCCAGGAACACACACACCTCATCAATTCTCATGCATCCCTAGATGATGCACCAGCTATCGCTGACTCCTAAATCAGCTGCTGATTCTAGCTTGTACAGATTGAGCAGAGCATGCTAATGGCTCTATGTGACACTAATTAACTAACCTATGCTTGCAGATTGCTGCTTGGTTATGTGGAAGTGTGTCAAAATTGCGAGCATGTGTGTGTCCTACAAGGAGTGGTAAGAGATGTAGGAGGAGGAGGCTGTTAGAGCGACCCATGGCGGGAAGACAGAGGCGATGTGGGAGACATCGTCGTCCATTACTTGGTCCAGCACTGCCAGCTCCACATTCAACTGCTGCCCTGCCGCCAGCTGCACACAGGATTATTGTAGCCATGCGAAACGAGCAGGTGTCAGCAAAAATGTGAAACCTGGTGAGTCATATCATGTCAAACGCAATGGCAATTGGTGGGAGACATACAAGGGAAGCAGGGAGGAGGCACGAGGTGCCACGCGAGTACTGACCTCGACCCAGAATTGCCATTTGAAGCCCGGCCCACCACCATTGTAGTGCACCATCAGGGACGGCGGTCCTCCTCTCGACACCTCTCGGGCTGATGGGGTGGGTGGGGGTGCACAGGAATCCATGGTGAGTAAGGCACAGGAGGGCCGTGAGGAGTGGTTGGGATGAAAGGAGCAGAATCAGTCTTTGCAAGCAAGGAGGGGGGTAGGGCGGCTTACGAGGCAGAGTGGGGGTGAGGGACCAGGCGGTGACAGGACCCGTGATGTTGAGCACTGACGCCCACACCTGGTCCAACGACCTGCCCTCCGTGGTCAGCAACGGGCCAACGCAGAGGGAGAAGCACAAGGAGAGGAGTGAGTGGAGGTTGACTGCACTGGGAGAAGCAGTACGAGATGAAGGATGTCAACAAGACCACGGAGGGGAATGGTGGCCGAACAGCCGGGCACAGATGGCAGAGCATGCATGTGTGCATGTGTGCATGTGTGCATGTGTGCATGTGTGCATGTGTGCATGTGTGCATGTGTGCATGTGTGCATGTGTGCATGGGTGGATGGGTGCCTCAGCCTGGGTAAGGAGCAGCGCCATGGCAGGTAGCAGCGACTCACCCTGCGTGCACCTCCAGGTGCAGGCGACGGCGCGCCTGAGGCAGGGTGGTGCCGTTGGGGGCGAGGGGCAGCGAGGACGAGTGGTGGGGGGCGGGCGGCAGCATGGTGGTGTCGTTGATCACTTGGATCGAGGGGAAGCGGAACCCTGGGCTCGACAGGCGCGGCGAGGGGGGCGCGGGGAAGGTGAATGAGCGATCTATGAGGTCCGAGATGGGGTAGAGCGCCTGTGGGGATCACAGCACGGGGAAGGGAGGGAGGGGGAGAGGTGGAACACAGAAGGATCAGGTGAGAACCACTCTCTGGTGGAACAAAGGGGCTGGAACAAGGATCATGGAGCAAGGGGTCCAGAGCAAGTGACGTGGTGGCCGGGTGGTTGGGGCGAGAGCAGCGTGCGGTGACTCACGCGCAGGTTGGCCTTGTTGGCGAGGGTCATGGCGGAGTGGTTGCCTGGCTGCGCCAGCGCTGCTTGCAGCCCGGGGATGGTGGCCAGCAGGAACGCCGCGTCGTTGCAGTCCGCCGTCGCTATCGTCGTCTCCGCTCTCGTCACAGGTGGGTGCTCGCCTGGCGGGGTGGCGCATGGGACACACACACACAGGTAGGGCAGGGAGAGATGGGGCGAGTGAGGGGGATGGGAAGATGCGAATGGGCAATGGCTACTGTCAATACAGCCAGACACTATAGCCCAACAGTGCAGCCACATTGACAACACAATGCGGAACAGATCCATTAAAGGAGCTTCAAACAGCATGACAGAGAGTTAGGTAGTGGCAGGCATTGAGCAGGAGCAGCAGCGCAGGCAGTACCATCAACAGAGCCGCCATGCGTGGTGTAGACGCGCTGCATGACGACGCGCTTGGGCGCGTGTGTGGAGTAGGGGAAGAGCGTGCAGATGTGCGCCGCTGCCACCACGCTGATGAGCAGCAGCGCGCGCAGGAAGGCGGGGCGCGCGATCCAGCGCGACAGGATGGGCGCGAAGGGCGCCACTATGATGCACACGGCAATGCCGATGAAGCACGCCAGCACTATGTCCGGCACGAACAGACCTGGGGGAGGCACGAACATGAGGGCGGCGGGGAGAGAGGAGAGTTGGTGAGGATTGGGGAGAACTGGTGGTTGGTTCAGGCGCAAGGGCAACGGCCCATGATTGCATGCAACAACGGGAAACGAGTGGAGCGAGCAGCAGAGAGCATGGCGAGGAACGAGCGAGCAAGCTAGTGAGGGAGTGCGCGACTAACCCCAGGGCAAGGGCGCGGCGCCACTGGCGCCCATCTTCTCAGCCATGAAGAATGTGTAGAAGGCAGAGAAGTTGATGCAGTACGCACACGGCACCGCTGCTGGTAGCAAGTAGCCCAGCAGCGCACTGACGGTAGAGGAAGGGGGGAAGGTGGGGGGAGAGCAATGGTTGGAGGGAGGGGAAGGTAGAGGTGCAGGAAGGCATTGAGACGAGTGAGTGGGAAAAGACGGCTAGGCAGCAGTGAGGATGGGGAGAACAAAAAATGATGAGTAGTTGAGAGACTGCGTAAGAGAGCTAGAGACAACATAAGGAACCGAAGTCGACTATCTGTGGATGGAGGGGTGTGGGTGAGAGTACGGACATGGGGTTGGAGTGACCAAACATCTTCTGCAGCTTGTTGTATATGAAGAGCGATGGCAGCAGTGACAGCGACCACCACACTCCTATGTAGCCCCCGCCTCCTCCACACAGGGTCACAATCTTGCACACGCGAAACACACTTTCACAAGGTCAGTGGGGGGTTGCAGGAGTAGCGAAAGCGATAGACTCGAGTGAGAGTGGCGGCAGGGGAATGCATGCATGGCATGGCATGGCATGGCAGTGGCAGTGGCAGCAGGTAGCGGCTCACCATGGCGAGTGAGACGAAGTACATGAGCCCCCCCCAGTGCGCCGACCAGCAGAAGGCCACCTGCCAGCCATGCGAGACAGGGCAGCAGAAAGCCAAACGAATTGAGTTCCCTGACGCATGCACGCCTGCCCATGCGCAAGGAAGTAGCAGAGGCAGGCGGACAGCAAGAGGGAGCAGAAGGGCAGCGAGAGGGAGCAGAAGGACAGCAAGAGGGAGCAGAAGGACAGCGAGAGGGAGCAGAAGGACAGCAAGAGGGAGCAGAAGGACAGCGGTGGTGAGAGCGGTGCAGTGCGGTGCGGTACCTCCTGTTGTGGCGAGAGCAGAGCGGGCTTGGACCAGGAGCCGCCTGCCCTGGACACGTGTGGCAGCAGTGTGCCGATGATGGCTGCTGGCACAAACATGACGAAGGCCGTGTTGGGACTCGAGTACCTGCTCGCGACGAGGAAGGGGCGCGTGGTGGGGAGAAAGGAGGGTGTGTTGGGGCGAGGGAGGAGCGAGAGGGAAGGCGGATAGGATGGAGGGGAAGAAGCACTTTCAACTACTCACAACGTACATGCCAACACCCCACATGCCCTCAACCCACCTGCCCCCATCCATCTGCCCCCATCCACATGCCGTGGTCTCACCATGCGAGGGGTTTCCCCGACAGCACGATCCTGCCCACCGCCACGAGCACCGGCACCACAAACGCCATCAGCCACGTCAGCGCCTGCGCGAAGGCGGCTGCAGGCAGGGGAGCAACAGGAAGGGGTGGAGAAAGGGCGTGGGAGCGGGAAGGGGAAGGGCACGATGATTGGTTGGGGTTGATGGGGTTTGGAGTGCACGTGCAGAATGGATGCTGGCAGGCCACGCAGTGCCAACCCGGCGGCTTCAAGTGCAGGCACATGGTGGGAGTGAGGGACCAGTGCAAGTGGGTGAGGAGGGCACAAGGAAGGGACGGGGTGGGTGAGGTGCAGGGGAACACGAGCAGCATCGCCTTTCACGAGGCCAAGGAAGGGGCTGCATTGATGAGGGGCGATTGAGGACAGCACAGGCGGGGTGAGGCGCACGCACCTGAGGCGAGTGCTGTGCATCGCTGTGCCACGGTGGCGTAGCCTGAGGCAGCAGGCGAGGTGAGCCACGGCACCAGGTAGAGCGCGCCCAGCAGCGCCGCGTTGCCCGCCATGGCCACGTGGCGCGGGTAGAACACCTGCTCGCATGGACCGCATGGCGCATGGGGCATGGTGCAGGCGAGGACGCAGAGAGGGGGAAGGGAAGGACGGTGTGTTGAGGACTACAAGATGGGCAGGGTGTGGGGCACTGTGGGGTTGCTGAGTAGCGACATGTGTGCCAGGAGAAGCATGAGGGAGCCAGCATCAAGACGCAGCACAACAACTGCTCCCCTCACAAGCTCACCCCTCCACACCCCCTCACACCACGCACATTCACCCATGCCACCCATACCACTGCTCCTGCTGCGCCACCCGATCCCATGCGCAACAGCACTCACGCTGACGTGATTGAAGAGGTCGAAGAACACGGGGACCTGGTCCGCGTTGGACTCGCCCTTGGCCGCCGCCTCGCGCCTGCCCTGCCGCGTCTTGAGCTCCGGCGCCGCTGCCAGCCCCTCCAGCAGCGGCAACAGGTTCTCCCCCCGCATCTGCAACACGCCCGGCCTGGAGGAGAGGAAGAGAGGGAGAGGGAAAGGGGGAGGGAGGAAGGATGAGAAGAAAGGGAGATGAGGTGATGGGGATACGGATGGGGATGCTGAAGGGGGAATGGGGAAGGAGTGAGAGGTGAGGCCATGTGGCACGTAGAACAGGGGCAAGGTGAGAAGGGAGAGCGGTGGGGCGAGGGAGAAGCGCAAGAGAGAGCAGGAGGGAGCAGGAAAGCAGAGAGATGGAAGGGCACGCAACATGAAGATGGTTCAGCGCGGAGCGGTGCGGTGCAAGTGCGGCAGTGCGGTGGCTTGCTCACATGATCTTGTCAGCGACGTCATAGGGCGTGTGGTAGAAGTAGCCGCGCAGCATGATCATGAAGTCCATGCCCGGCACGTCGTCAAAGTCCTTTGACACTATGCGGAAGTCCGTGTCGCCCGGCACGTGCGGGAAGAAGTCCTGCACGCACAGCCATGCCCATGCACATGCGAATACGCACGCACACACACACGCACACACACACGCACACACACACGCACACACACACGCACACACACACGCACACACACACGCACACACACACGCACACACACGCACACACACACGCACACACACACACACACACACACACGCACACATGCATGCATGCACGGAAAGGAGCCAGGTTGAGGAGATGTTCACCGTTTTCAGTCCATTCCTCACACTTCTCCGTGTTTCCTTCACCTCCCTCACCCTACCTCTCACCCTCCTACCTCGCACCCTCCTGCCTCCTCTGCGCCTCCACCCTTCTGCCCCTCAACCTCCGCCCTTTCCCCTCTTGCGCCGATGCGCGGGGAGGCTGACCTGCGTGATGACGGTGGCGGAGGGGTGCACGGCGGACTCGGCGTACACGCGGTTGGGCCACATCACGGGCCCGCTCTGAATCACCAGGTCTGCCCACGGGTTACCCGGGGAGATGGGGGAAGGGAATTTGGAGGCGGCGGGGAGGGGGAAGAGGAGGAAGAGGAGGGACGGTGAGTGAAGGGCTGGGAGCGGTGCTCGTGGTGGTCAACGAGTGTGGGTATGGAAGGTCAAGAGGAGGTAACAGAAACTAGCCACCCATCAAGCGGCCATGTGGCACCTGGCAGCGAGCGAGCGAGGCTGACCTGGCAGGGAGGAGCCGGAGGACTCGAAGTTCATGAAGGCGCCTACGGTCTCGCTCCACGGGTGCTTCGTCACGAACCCGTGCACGCCCTGCCACCACCGCGACCCAGGGGGGGGAAAGGGAAGACAAGAATGAGGTCGGCAAGTCACGTGGCTATACGAGTCTACGAGAGAGCGGCACGTCGGCAAGGCGCGCGGGAGGCTGGGAGCGCTGGATGCAGAGGGAAGCAGGGAGGGGCGCGCGAGGCACGCGCGGGTGCGCGGCAGGGGCGCGCGGGGCTGACCTTGAGGAAGACCTCCTCCGCGCCGTTGAAGAGGAAGATCACGGGCGCGCGCGGCACCTTGCCGCCCTCCGCCATCGCGCGCAACGCCTCCAGCAAAGTCGCTGCGGGATAGGCGGGATAGGCGGAGCAGGGGGGGGGATAGGCGGGACGGCGGGACGGAGGCGATAGCAATAGGGAGTCGGGAGGGAATGCAGGGCAGGGTGAGGAGGAGCGAGTGGAAGGGGAGCAGACCGTATGGACACAGGAGAGTAGCGGTTACAATGTGGCAGGTGTGCAGTGCGGTGCAGAAAGGGATGATACGTGAAAAGCCGTCACAAGTAACGGTTCTTGCGTTGGGCCAGAGGGACCACGGGGCACGGCGTACCGACACACGAGGCGCAGTCTGCGGCGCCGGGCGAGCCTAGCGGCGAGTCGTAGTGCGCGTTGAGGAGAATCGAGGGCGACGCGTCCACGGGCAGCGATGCGTCCGATACTCTGAGGTGGGGTTGGGAAATCAGAGAGACAGCATGAGATGTGGGGCCAGTAATCGATAGGTGCAGGGAGGATAATAAGACGGGAGAAAGCGGAACCACAGCAGGATGGGCGAGACAAGGCGCAGATACGAGCGAGGGACCAGGAGCGATGGGCACTGAGCGAGGACGTGGGGCAGATCCAAGTGTGCTGGCACGGGCACGTGGGAGCGGGGGGTGCGACGCGAGCGGGAGTACCGTACCTGACGACGACGTTGGAGAGGTTCTGGTAGGCGAGGGTGAGGCTGCGGAAGAGGAAGTTCATGTGGAACGACCCGCTCACGCGACTGTCGTCGATCTCGAACCTGCGCCGCCACGAGACGAGACGAGAATGGCGAACAGTGGCGAGAGGCGTGAGTGAGGGTACCGCGATACGGGAAGTTGACGACACGAGCGAGGATTCGGAACGTGCGGATGGAGCGATGAGGCGGAGGGAGCAGAAGCAGGGAGAGGGGGAAGGGAACGGACGCGAAAGACAAGAGGGACAGAGAGGGCTATTGGAGGGCACGAGGGAGTCGAGTTGTTGCGTCGGATCTGAATGAGCATACGCGACACCGGGGCGAGGGGAGGGGAAAGGGAGGGCAGAGGATGGCGGACGAGGAGACTGGGGAGAGCAAGGACGAATAGCTACGAGGATAGCGAGGGCGAGGAATAGTGACCTAAGTCGCGGCGACGCCTTGGCCTTGAGTCGCCGGACCTCGTCGAGAATGTACGCTCTGCCCAGATCCAAGCCCTCGCTGCCTTCCTGCCAATACCACATCGGTAAGTTTGCACGCCCGACCACTTAGCGCGGCGTCCGATGGAAACCAACGATCCCAAATCGACGGTGCGACAGCGGCAAGACAAGACACGATGTGGATCGGGACGGGTAAGAGGCAGGCGGAGGGAAGAAGGCAGCGGATAGCGGCCGCACAGGTGACATTAGCGGGCGTGCGTTGCAGCGCGCACCTGCCGAATGCCGATGTCAGTCGCGAGTCGCACCACGTGCGCCATGGCTCGTTCTTCGGAAAACTGGTCGAGCGGGGTGGTGGCAGCGGGCTTGGGGGCTATCCGCGTGGTGAAGGTAAGGCGCCGACTCAACTCGAGCAAAGGCGTGTAGAACAGCAGCAGCACAGCAAACCCGCCGATACCTTTCCATAGCCATTGGCGGCTGTCGCGTGAGCGAGATACGCGTGGAGCAGGAGCGGAATGGACAGTAAGTGGGGAGAGCAGCGGTTCTACGGCTGCAGTTGCTAACGCCCTAGCATCAACCATGATCCTGGTCTGCTCGCGCTGTGAGGTACGAACGACTAGCCGTGAGGTACGAATGACTAACAATAGGACGTTACACCAAGCAGACAGAAGTTGACCTACCCCTAAAACGTTGGTAAAATCGACGCCGTATGTAGATATACCACTTGCTGAGTGATAGAAACTAATGGTCCCATATGTAGGAAATCGATGGCGCCAAGAAGGGTGTGCCTTGACAGGACAGCACAGGAGCAGAGCAGGTACGTTGTCCCAAAAGAGAGTTTGTTTTGCTGTGTGCCAAGCAGGCCTGTCGAAGTTCCTGGGGGCAACACTTTGAGTCCTGAGCTGCTCGAAGTTTGGCCCTGATTTTCGCGAAGGTGACCGTTTTTTAGCCCTTAACGATCATGGGTGCAGGTCCAAACCAAAACTTGAAATCCGGGCTTCTTTAAAAAACGTACGTGTGCCCTAATTTCACAAAGGGGGATGTCAGCGGGAAGGAGCTTGCTAACGAGTTATCTGTGAACCTACAGCAGGGGGGGAAGAGGGGTGGGGGAGGGGGGGGGGGCTCGTAGGGCTAATATCGTCAGCAAAGAAGTCGTTTGAACTCTTGTGTACAATCGCAAAGCACTTCCAAGGAAGTTCGTTCTCATGTAGTATTCCTAGTGTGAACCGATGGGGCTGAATCCCACCTCGCCATGTAAGGGTGTCAGTGTCTTGATTCCAGCGTGAGTACTTAGAATTGTGAGGAGTGAACAATGTCTTAGAAATATTTTGCAACCACAGACATAAACATCAACCCTAGAACCTCCTTTCATACCAAGAAGATAGAATGTGGGAGCGACAGGGATAAGGGTACGGAAGGAGAAGAGTGTCAACTTAGGAAACTCGCAGGGTTACTTGTACACTAAATCCGGGATCTCAGGGAAGGGCCCCAAACCAGCCCTAAACGGATCCGGGTTGATACCCCAATTTCTCGAAATCAGCCCGTAAGAAAAACGGGCTCCCCTCGAAACCAGCCCTTTGAAATGCCGAAGCTGGCCTGGAGTTCACCCGGAATGTTCAGGGCATTAAGGGCAAATGCCCTTGAATCGACAGCCCTGGTGCCAAGCCTTCCAAAACTGATCATAGGAGTTCTGAGCGCTGACCTAAGAACGAGCAATGAACCATGCGAGGAAAACCAGAGTGAGAGGTAGTTTTACATTGCGCGCTCATGCTGCTTAGCACTTTTCAAATCGCTACCTGGTGCCGATACAGAATTTATTGAATTTTACAGGCAAACAAAAAATGTCCTCCTTGAAACTCGTGAATCTCAAATGGCGTAGATTTGCGTGCTTCTTGGCGCCAAGTCTCATCCCCCTTTGCTCAGTTTCCGCCAATGGCTGAGCCGCATCGCTTGGCCGTGCATCACCGTCCACCCAAGCCCAAAGACAACCAGGCCGTTAGAGCGACGCCGTCGGCTTCGGTGATGTGACGTGACAGACGTCCGTGATCCGCATTCACAGCCACCAGTTTATCCGTGCCCTCCGACGGCCTCCGTCCAAAATTGCGAGGGAAGTATCTCATTTCCGCACTTGGGCAATCGTGCAATTCCAAGCTTCTTGCGCTGCGCATACCGCGCTCACTGACATGACTCGTCTACCAAGTAACAATCCACCACGTTTTGAGCTGTCAGTGGCGAGAATGTTCCAACCATCACACAAGCATTTCGTTAGATAACAGCATATGCTGTTTGACTACAACATTTTCAGAATTAGGATGCCTTGCATGTATTCCACCAGCATGTTTAATGCATTTTTTCCCACCGTATTCCAATGCATTTTGTAGTTATGATTGAACATTTTAACGGCAAACTCAGTGGCATCAATGTATAGTAGGCTCCTTACGTCCAAACCTAAAAATTGGCTTCATCATTTCTCTCCAAAGCAGTTTTATATTTTAATTTTCAGCCTTGGTAGGATATATCACCAAAGACAATGTGTAAGCTTATTAAAGAAAATCTAAGTAAGGTGTCTCAGATACACTAAGTGACTTTCATTTTCAATACCTTTTGCTGCTGAATTTCTGTTGCATCATATCGACGTGGATCCGTTGCTGTTTTCGTTCTGAGTTGACTTGACATTGGCGTGGTTGTGCCTTATGCTGACGCGTGCCACGTCCCCTCCTTCCTCGGCCACGGACGTAAGTTCCAATTCCGAGCCTCTATTATTTAGTCCCTGCGCGCCAATTGTCACTCCCACTTCGCTACATTCAGCAGCGCAGTCTTTTGTCGAGCCTCGTTTCAGCCTAAATTGAATGAAGCCAGCTGAAGTGGCACAGCACATAGCACATATTAGCAAACACAGCGCGCAGGCGGTAGCGCATATCCCAGTTGAGATATCGTCATATTCCGCCTGACAGCGGCGACCCTCTGTTCGCCCAACGGGATTTGAAGCTAGGAGGGTCAGTGGCTCTTGGCAGAGTGAGTGCAAGGGACTCGCAACCTCGCTCTTTCAGCCCCATGTGGCCGCGAGCCGCGTTCCGCTCCCTCACCTCCCATCCCTCTCCATCCTCCCCTCAGCTCAAGCAGTCCACAGCCCGTATCGCCTCCTCCCTCTCCGCCCCTCATGGCGCCACTTCGCCCGCCGCCCTCCTGACTGTCGCCGCACGCGTCTTATCGCCGTCGCGTGCACACTCCTCGTCGCCCGCCTCGCTGCCCGAGCGCGCTGTCTTTGAAGGCGACCGCCTCACGGGGGCGGATGGAGAGAGCGGTGACGCCCCGGGGGCAGATTTGCCGAGTCGGCGCATGAATGTGTTCACGGCGGTGAACGATGCGCTCTTCATCGCACTCGACTCCGACCCCAGGTCAGCGCAACGGACCCATTCCGTCCCGCACACGGGCGGGATGTTGGGGAAACGAAAGCGGCAAGGGTCCGCGAGGCACATGACGGGCGGTGGGGAAGAGCGGGCTGTTGGCCGACCCGCTGTTGCCGTCGCGCACGACTACCGCGTTTCGCCACTCTATCTTGCCGCGTCGTGCGCCCCATGGTGCCCTGATTCCGCTCTGACTCCGCGCGTGTCGTACGCGGCGTTGCGCAGGTCGTTCGTGTTCGGCGAGGACGTGGGCTTCGGTGGCGTCTTCCGCTGCACCTCGGGACTCTCAGAGCGGTTCGGCCGCCACCGAGTATTCAACACGCCGCTCTGCGAACAGGTGACACCACGCCACGCCGCGTCGCGCCGCGACGCGCCGCGAAGCGCCAATTCCACGCAGCGACCTGCGGTGCAGCGGTGTAGCGTATCTGTGCCACATGCCCTCGCTGCTGCCTCGTCGCTGTCCCCAATCACAATCCCGTGAAGTCATTTCCTTCGCCATGCGTCCCTCCCATTTCTTTCCCCGTGGCAGGGCATAGCGGGCTTCGCCGTGGGTCTTGCTGCCATGGTACGATGCGCTGCCCTCTCTCCTATTGTCCGCGGACCCCCTCTCTCCCTTCCTCCGCGCGCGTCTTGTATCATGCGTCCATTCATCCCCGCCCTCCACGTCCTTCGCATCCATCCTCGCCCGCTCTCGTACCCGCACTCGTCTCATCCACATCATGTTGCGCCATTAGCTTTCCTGCGACTCGTTATCTGTGCGACTCGTTATCTGTGCGACTCGCTGGCCGTGCGTGCAGGGCAACACGGCGATAGCGGAGATCCAGTTCGCGGACTACATCTTTCCTGCATTCGACCAGGTTCGTCTCTCTCTCTCCCTCTCCCCCTCTCATCCCGCTCTTCTGCCGTTCCCTGTTTCCGCCCACCCTCCCCAACCCCCACCTGCTGCAAGCTTGCTTGTGCTCCGCGCCCCACTTTACGCTAGTACATGGCGTTCCAGCCGTGCTCTGCTCGTCGCCACCTAGCCGCCATATCCGTGCCCCTCTCTCTCCCCTTCCCCCGCCCTCCTCCTCTGTGTGCGGCCTGTGCGCGGGCAGATTGTGAACGAGGCGGCCAAGTACCGCTACCGCAGTGGCAACCAGTTCAACTGCGGAGGTACGGGGAAGAGGGGACGCGTGGGGGGGAGACGCGCATGGAGGTGGGGTAGGAGTTGAGCTGCCATGTTACTGTTGTCGTTGATGGTCACACGGGTGGTTCTTGCAAGTCCATGGCATTTCTGTGCGCATCCTGCGCCTTTCTTCCGCCCATGCTCCCCATCTCTCCACGCTCTCACCCCTCGCGCCTCGCCGCCTCCACCGCCCTTGTTCTATCTGTCCCGCTTCTCACAGTCAGTCAGACTGCCCTCACCTGCATCACGCACACACCAGTGCTTGCTCACTGCTCCCATCGCAAACCTACCCCCTGTCCCCTCTTCTCCCCTGCTCCCCAATCCACACACTTGCTCAGCTCACTCAATCACCAAAGCGCCCAAATGTCCGCCCCTTTTTTCATGCGTGCATGCGCGCAGGGCTGACGATCCGAGCGCCGTACGGGGCGGTGGGGCATGGGGGGCACTACCACTCGCAGTCGCCAGAGGCCTTCTTCTGCCACGTGCCAGGCCTCAAGGTGCGCTCTCCACGCCCCTGCCTTGCTCCATCCAATGTGCCGCGCCTGCTGCTGCTGCTGCTGCTGCTGCAGCGGCGGTGGCGGCGGCGGCGGGGGGTGTGGCAGGATGCGAAGGTTTCAGTGAATCAACCCTTAAATGTGTGCTTGTGACCTCATGCCAGGGTGGACAGAGAGGGGAGTCAAGGTTACCATCTGTGCCGGGTCCGTCTACAGGTTGCCGCATGGTGAAGGCCAAGTCAAGCCCATATGGGCCCACCCAAGCTACCCGCTTGTGCTCTTCTCTACCCCTCCGCTCCGCCTGCCTCTTCCCCTCCCCTTTCCGCACGTCCCTGGGATCCCGGCCCAACCGCCACGCCGCACCTTCTCACCCCCCCCACCATCTCGCCCTGCGCTGTGCTGGTGCTGCTCTGCGTGTGGGTCCGTGTGGCAGGTGGTGGTGCCGCGAGGGCCCGTGCAGGCCAAGGGGTTGCTGCTGTCTGCCATCCGCGATGCCAACCCCTGCATCTTCCTCGAACCCAAGGCATGCCGCTCCCACCCACCTGCCATGCACGCACACCGCACACTGCACACTGCACCGCTCTGTGTGCCGTGACCTGTGCGCCATTATGCCGCGTGCTCCATGCCCCATGCAAAGTACTGTGACTCAGGTGGTATGCGCTTCCCTTCCAACGTTCATTTCCCCATTTATATATCCCCCGTGTCCACATCCCGTGTGCTGCCCGTCACCATCACACCCCCTGCCGTGCCCGCATGGCAGTGGCTGTACCGCCTGGCAGTGGAGCCCGTACCCCTGCACGACTACATGCTACCGCTCTCCTCCGCTCAGGTGTGCATGCCACACCGCACCCCGCTGAGACTAGAGGGGAGGCGGGGTTGTGGGGGAGAAGATCGGGTCAGGAATGTACCGTATCTGAAGAATGTGATTCCGCATGGAGAAATGTGGGAGGTGGTTGTTGTCTTAAAAGAAGATTAATGCAGCCCTTTCCCTTACCCATCCGCTCTACCCCTCCACTTCGTGTTCGCCCTTCAATGATGCAGCACCCTTGAGCCTTTAAGGGCTAGGTCCAGCCCTTTTTCCTGATGCTGCATGCCCCTGTGTGCGTGTGCATGTGTGGCAGGTAGTGCGGGAGGGCACGGACGTGACAGTGGTGGGATGGGGGGCGCAGCTGGCGGTGTTGCTGCGAGCAGCAGAGGAGGCTGCCCAGGTACGCCTGCTTGCCATGCCCATGCCTTCCTACTGCTCCTTCCACCTCCCCGACTCTCTACGCTCCTGTCTCATCCTCTTGCCCTCGCCGCCAGCCCCCCCCCTCGACCCTGCTGTTCAGTTCCAACGCATTCCTCTAATTACCCCATTTCCCCATTTCCCCCCTTCCACCCCCTGTGGTGCCGTGCATTGTACATGCGCGGGTGCGCGCGGGGCAGGTGGGCATATCGTGTGAGGTCATCGACCTGCAGACGCTGCTGCCCTGGGATGCTGCCACCGTTGAAGCCTCCGTCAGCAAAACCGGCCGCCTCCTGGTACGCCCTCTCCTCCCACTGCCTCCCCTGCGCATCCCCTCTCATCGCCTCCTCTCACGCCGTTGCTTTCCTCCATGTCCCCTTTCCGTCACACGTGAAAAGTATTTGCCCAATTCCTGGTTTGTGGCAAACGAGGCGTGCATGGCAGTAATGTTCATGGGCAAGTACTTGCGGACGCCACTTCATTGGGCCACATTCACTCACTTCACTGCGCTGCACTCTTAGTCCTGAGCCTCATGCACTTGCTGCTAACCCCTTGCATCTCCATGGGGTTGCATTTCAAGTAACCAGCACCCAGCACACACGCACGCGTGTGCGCAGGCGGAGATGCAGCCCCATGGACCTTGTGCACTGCCTTGCATGCATCTCTGCACGCGCTCATGCATGTGTGCTCAATTATGGGTATGTTTGCGCTTGTATGTGTGTGTGCATGGGCATGTGGGCATGTGCGTGCGCATGTGCATGTTGGTGCATGTGTGCACGTGTGCATGTCGGTGCATGCGAGGGGAGGCAGGTGAGCCACGAGGCGCCTGTGACGGGTGGATTCGGTGCGGAGATAGCGGCCACCATCACCCACCGCTGCTTCCTCCGGGTCAGACCACTCGCCCTGACCCACACATGCCATGCCACACGGGGGAGCTGGGAAAGAGAGGGGAATTGAACTTTGGGAGCAAAAGGAGGTGGAGAGGGAGTAGTTATCGTATGCATCTGGGATCATGCCCCATGACTCCTCATTCCATCCTCCTCACACGGTCCATTGTCCCTGTTCTCCCTGTCGTGGACTGCAGCTGCAAGCCCCCGTGGCACGTGTGTGCGGGCTGGACACACCCTTCCCGCTTGTGTTTGAACCCTTCTACCTCCCAACGCAGGACAAGGTGATCTCCCATGCACCTCTCATGATTCCTGTTCAACTTTATTCCGTGTGCCTCCGTATCTGCCAGCCCGCTTGGTCACTTGCACACACAAAACACCACCTCTGGCCTCTCCGCTCAGTCTTATGTGGTGGCAATGTTACAGTATTGTTGCACCACTTCCACAACGGTGCTATCCTCCACCCCACCCCTCCTACCAACCTCAGATCGTGGAGGCTCTGAAACAACTCATCCAGTACTGAGGCCTTCGATCGGTGTAATGTGATTTTGCATCTTATTTTCAGTCATGCAAGTCTTGGATGCGGTTTGTACAGTCTTCATTGGGCTTGCTACAATGCGATGTATATAGTTATAAGAAAATGTGGTATGAGGTGTTTACAGCATTACCTCAGATCTGTTTTGCAATTGCCTGAAAAAGAGAGTTGGAATGCAAAGTCACTACCATATGAAAATATGACAAGTTTACACAACAAAAAAATTGTGCCGTGTGTGAGTGCATCTGACTGCACAAACATCACACCGATTCTGACTCTTGACTGCAGATGGCCGCATGGTATGGGGTTTCATGGGGTGTCCTGCCATGTACCAATTTAGTGGACTCTCTAGGGAGGGACCCACAACGCAGAACATATGAGATGTGTCCTACACCACTCTACAACTTGAAGAAGGCTTGCATATACGTGCCCTCACTCTCACCTGCAGCGTTTGCTCGACGTGGTTGGTGGCGATGGTATCAGGTGTGGCAGCCAAATACTCAAACCACACCTATGCACGCCACGCCACCGTGCCAAACCCGCCCATGTTACTGGGAAGGACAGGGCGGGTTGAAGAATGGTCTCAAATACTCAGCCACGCCAATCCACGCCACCACGCCAAAGCCTCCACAAAGTGGATGTCACTGGGGGAGAGGGAGAGGGAGGGGGAGTGCAGGCGTGGTTTGTGGCTTGTGGGGCGCCTCAACGATCGCGCCTCACAAACCTACCCACAAAGAAAATGGCGCTGGGGGTTGGTGGGAGAGGGAGGGGAAGGACGGGCTGGGGTGTGCAATAGACAAATTCCATACCCTGAGCAATTCCCCCCCTCCTCCCCCTCTAGGCGTTGCGTTGCAGCCCACGGCTGGTTGCTGTTGCTGCAGCCAGATGGCTCATCGGGAACCCGCTCGTCGGCTCGTGGCCTCCCGCACTACTCAATCGCGGTGTCCCGCAAACGAACAGGGGACGGCATCGGTGCCTGCGGGTGGAGAGAAATGGAGGGAGATGAAGCAGCGAGCAGAGCGAGACTCTACGCGCGCTGTGGTAGACGCCTACGCCAACTCCCCCCAACGCCGTGGCTGCATGGGAGTAGCCTTGGCGTGGTTGCCGCAGCCAAAGGAGTGGGCCATCCGCTGTTGGGAAGACTCACAGGCGCACTAATGCATGGGGAAACGGAAAGCAGCGGAGTCCGAGCATGAGCAGAAGAATATAATCCTAATCAAGCTATGCGAAATATGATGCTGGAACAGGCGTGTACTGAATCTTGACTTTGTGGTTTCAGGAACTGTGATTTTAGGTTCCTCCTGTAAGGAATTTTGCTAATTCCTTACTGAGGCACCGCTTACGCGTACATTTCCAACTTTCGGAGTTCAGGCTCGGTCCGACGACCTCGCCTCCCGAACGTCCTCCGCGTCGCCTTCGGGTTTTCCAAACCCAAACCTACACCCAACCCTCGCACGACTCGGCGACCTCGGCTTGAGCTAGCTTTGCTATATTATGCCTAGGCCCCGCTGTTTGCTCAGTAGTTGTAATCACTTCCGCGATATTGCATTCTGCGCACTTTTCTTTCATACAACTCATAACACCTGGTATCAGAGCTACTTTCCTAGGTTACCCTCCACTTTCCGGGGTAGTTTAGTACAGGGGTGCGATAGGTTTGGTGGGCTGCAAAGCGGTCGGCTGAGAGATAGATACGATTATCTCGCTCCGACTAATAGCGTTTGCGCCTTCATCAAAACCAGAAAAATCGCTGTTAACCCCCTGCCCGTGAGACGAAGCCTGCGACACATGGACCAGGCGGAGTTAAACGAGCTCATGCAACAGTTTCGGGCGCTGCAGGCCAACATGCAGACTATGTCTGGCGAGTTGGAGCACCTGAGGGAGGAAAACGCCGAGCTACGCCAGACGCGAGGTGAAGCGCGTCAGGAGTCGCCCGCCGTGGATGAAGCAGGAAGCAGTTTCGTGCCTAACGACGAGGTCCTCAGCGAGCTACAGAACTCGCTAGATGCTGAAGACGAGCGGACAGCGCGAACGCAACGAGCACAAGGGACGCAGGAACAACAGTCACAGCCGTGGCAACAGTCGCAGACGACGCCACGACGGGCAACACCGACAACCCCGGTGATGGCTTCAATGGCGCCCCCGACGCATGCAGCAGCAACAGTCTCAACAACTGTTAAAATAAAACCGGCGAACACGCCCCCGTTCAACCCCAGCGACAAAGCCGTCACTGTGTCAGCTTGGTTGTTTGGTGTAGAGGTGTTTTTCAATGCTGCGCAAATTGCTGACGATGCTACCCGCATTAATTTTGCAGTGTCACTATTGCGAGGACCGGCGTTGGAATGGTGGAAGCCGACTCTTCAGCCAGAGGGGGCTCCGGCAGGGATATCACGTGCGAACGACGGGACCTGGGCAGCTGTCACGCAACAGGCAACTTCAATCGTCGGAGTGGCCACGATAAGCACATGGACGGAGTGGGGCGCCGCGCTGCGAAGCAGATTCGAGCATGTATCCGCCTCGGATTCTGCTCGCATGAAGCTGCGTACCTGGAAGCAGGTGGCGTCGGTCCAAGATTACACGGCGACATTTTGCAATTTGGCTGACCAAGTGGACGACATTGAGAAGAAGTGAACGAGAATGGAATGAACTATGAACGAAGTGAGTACAAATAGGAAACCCTAATTGGGTTGTACCCCCTATGGGATACCCCACTATAGCCTACACAAGAAAGTAAGCTATAATGTTCTGACACACCCCCATAGGCAAAGTGGGGGAGAACAAGGGGTCACAAGACCAGTCAAGCAAAGCAAGGCAAAGCTCAGGGTGGATCACAAAGTCACCACACATTCCGAGCACAAGTTCAAAGGCCAAAAGGCCAGTTCACATGCAAGATCACATATAGGTATACAAAAGGCTAAACAAGCAAGAGCAAGAGTATATATATATGACAGTACAAGCAAGGTCAAGGAGTAAGCAAGTGAGGCAAGACAGGCACAAGCCCCAACAGAGTGCAGAAGCGCTGATGATCACAAGGCGCAAGTGCCTTGGTGAAGACATCAGCAGTGTTGGCCTCAGAGGCCACGTACGCAAGCCGCAACTGTCCACGCTGCTGCAGCTCACGCGCAAGAAAGTAGCGGAGAGCAATGTGCTTTGTCCTGTGCTCCAGTCGCTGCTTTCGACACAAGGCCAGCATGGCCTTGTTGTCTACGTACAGGACTGGAGGAGAACGAGGCGGCTCTCCAAGGTCGGTCAGCAGGTAGGTGAGCCACCGAAGCTCCTGTGCAGCCATAGCCCCGGCGTAGATCTCAGCCTCACAACTGGAGCCAAGAAAAGAAGACGAGCGGGTAGCCCGCCACGAAACAGAGCCGGGACCAAGACTGAAAGTGTAACCCTGCGACGACCGCTGCGTAGCCTGGTCGTCAGCCCAAGAAGCGTCCGCGTGCCCAGTGAGGACCACTGGACTGCGCCCTCCAAGCACTAGCCCCATGCCCGACGTACTGCACAAGTAGCGCAACACCCTCTTCGCTGCAGCCATGTGCTCTGGTCGGTGTCTCCCAGGAGCAACATAGCGTGCAAGAATGCTAAGAGGGTATGCAAGGTCAGGTCGTGTGCAGGTCATCAGGTACATGAGGCAGCCGACAAGCTCTGGATACGGGCCACTCGACTCTACGGACTCATCCGAAGGCAGAGCTGAGAGCGAGTGGCGAGTAGGCAGAGGAGTGGCCTGAGGCGAGGAGTACGTGAAGCCGAAGCGCTGAAGGACCTGCTGCACCATGTGTGACTGAGTCAGGGTGATGGTGTGGCGTGCTCTGTCCCGGGTGATCTGCAAGCCAAGGTAGCTGCGCAGCTCACCCAGGTCAGTGCACGTGTGTCTCTTCTGCAGCTCGGACTTCACGTAGGCGAGTCCAGCAGTGTCAGCAGTGGCAAAGACCAGGTCGTCGACGTACACGAGGATGTAGAACGGCGGCAGAGAAGTGTCGGTGCGCAGAAACAGCGACGGGTCGGCAGTAGAAGGAGCAAACCCAAGTGCCGCCAGCGTAGTCCTCAGTGTGTCGTGCCACTCACGTGGCGCCTGGCGGAGACCGTAGACTGGACGCCGGAGACTCCACTGGGTACCAGGAGGGAAAGAGCCAGTGAAGCCAGGAGGGCGGCGTAGCCAGATCTCCTCGTGCAGGCTGCCTTGCAAGAAAGCAGTGCTGAAGTCGAGAGAGTGCAGCTCGTAGTCACGGTGAGCAGCGACGTGTAGTAGTACCCGAAGAGTGGTCATCTTCGGGGTCGGGGAGAAGGTCTGAAAGAAGTCAACTCCCTGCCGCTGACTGAAACCACGAGCCACGTAACGCGCCTTGAAGACAGGCGGAGAACCCGGCGGCCGCTTCACCCTGAAGATCCACATGCCACTGACGATGTTCGCCCCAGGAGGGGGAACAGCGTCAACGTAGTTGCCTGTGGACTTCCAGGAAGCCATCTCAACATCCATAGCTGCCTGCCACCGAGAGGAGTAGGGACCCTCTATCGCCTCCGCGTAAGAGCGCGGAGTCGGGATGTCAAGTGCATCCGGGTCTCCCTCAGGGGTGAGCAGTACGGACACGAGATGAGGTGAAGCGGCTGCCAGGCACTGGAACTCCTCCTGCCTGTCCTCAAGGACGTCCGTGCCAAGGGCACACGCACCCCCGACGGACGGAGGACAGGTAGACTCAGACTCAGCGACAAGACTAGCAGTGTAGTCTAGACGACAGCGAGCAGCAAAGTCGACGAGCTCAGTAACAAGGGCAGACGCAGCAGTGGACTCGAAAGAAGGGTCAGTGACAGCAGTAGCAAGGAGACGCGTGACAGTAGGACTGGCAGCACGAAGAGAGTCCGACGCAGGGTCGGCGAGAGCAGGAAGAGAGGACGCAGGAGGAGAAGGCAAAGGGGCACGCAGAGGAGCAGTGGTTGGACGCAGGGACATCCGGTGCGTGCCAGGGACAGGAGGAGGACGCTGACGCGAACCG